GCAGCATGTGGTGGAAAATTAATGTAAATCATATATGTTATACAGTATATTATATACTGGGTTGGGGCAGCCTAATACCAACAATCAATACGAAACTAACGATTTTAAATTGGCTCACTACTTGACTAGCCTATTGGTCCCAAGCAAATCGACTAACGTACCCCATTCTAGTCGAAATTCTACTACTACACAATGTTTGTTTTGATTCGCTATGAAAGTTTGACAGATAAAATGAGGGGTTATTGGTTTTTCCTATGTTTCGAGGGGTGAATCGATTAGCTTGGGACCGAAGCGAGTACCAGAGCTGAGCCAAAAAGTTGAGCACGTTATTTCGGGACCTTCTAGTCTTAGAGTTACCTCTATGCTAATACCAACAATCAATACGAAACTAACGATTTTAAATTGGCTCACCACTTTAGTAGCCTATTGGTCCCAAGCAAACGATTAACGTACCCTATTCTAGTTGAAATTCTATTACTACACTATGTTTGTTTTGATTCGCTATGAAAGTTTGACAGATAACATCAGGGGTGTGTGGATTCATGCAGAACATGCAGGGGTGAGTGAAATAGCTTGGGACTGCTTGGGACCGTTGTTCTGGTACTGAGTGAGCCAAAAATAATAATGATTTTCTTCGGGACCCAGTGGTCTTAGAGTTACCTCTATGCTAATACCCCGTACAGACTATTGCAGCGGACACACTTGGATGACAAACTATGAACATGAGCATTATTTGTATAATAATTATGAGTACTATACAACAACTATACACAAACTATACAAGTGTGATCAGGGATGTGCTCATAATTTATTATACAAATAATGCTTAAGTTCATAGTTTGTCATACAAGTGTATCCGCGGCATATGGCTTATATCATATAATATAGGCAGCCTTGCAATGAGCACTCATATATCTAGTTTTCATTGGAAATCCAATGTATGAGTGCTCATTGCAAGACAGTCTATATTACATGATGGTGGATGTCCCAAACCTTTAAACCTTTAAACCTTTATCTCCGTAAATATGGCTCTAATCGTGATTTGGGGGGTGTTCGGATGATCAAAATTTTAATTCCTGGATTTCCCAGTATAACATATTAATAACAAACCTTATATCAACTCCAATTCAGGATGCGTAATACCCAAAAACCACAGATCAACAATGATCCGATTTACAAGCAATTCGATAGCATGACAGTTCCCACAGAGCATTTTATTATTAAATGCTGTCAATAAAAAGGCTGTGACATATAAGGTTCTGTAAACATTATCGCTGGAATTTAGATTTTGATTACGACATCCACCGTAGGAGTGTTGGAGTTTTTCGAAGGATGAATTAGACTAGATCAACACGGTTATTCCATAGAGGTAACTCTAAGACTAGAAGGTCCCGAAGAAACGAGCTCAACTTTTTGGCTCAGCTCTGGTACTCTCTTCGGTCCCAAGCTAATCGATTCACCCCTCGAAACATAGGAAAATCCACTAACCCCTCATTTTATCTGTCAAACTTTCATGGCGAATCAAAACAAACATTGTGTAGTACTAGAATTTCGACTAGAATGGGGTACGTTAATCGATTTGCTTGGGACCAATAGGCTAGTCAAGTAGTAAGCCAATTTAAAATCGTTAGTTTCGTATTGATTGTTGGTTATTCTCAATCGTAGCTATTTCAATAATATTGAGGATTCCATCTTTGGAAGCCGCCTTAAGTGCTATAGTGTCTAACAATATTATTTCGCATGATTTCGAATATGCGAATAGTAAGTGTCGTGACGGTCGTGACCAACAGTTTTCCCAACTTCAATCAGGCGATTTCTCCCATTACTTGCATCCGAAAATCCGAAACTAAATGTCTTATCATGCTCAATTAGCTGGTTCGTAGCCAGTGGTCTCATATGGGTTAGTCAGCTAAGGCGTTATGTTAATCATTGAATCTTGGATGGTCTGTTCAAGTCTAGAACTTTATAACTTTAAAAATAATCTAAACCAAGCGTACGAGTAAAACAGACAGCAACCAATATTTTTGTTTTCATTCAGCTATTCAAATCAGAAACTTTTAATCAAAACTTATAAGAAATGTTTCGCACTGTCTAAATCTGAACTTATATTTGTGGGTTACTCTGGGTCAGTTAGCAAAATGTCGTAGGTTTAAGCCCTAGTATGTCCACTGTCCACTTTAAAACGTGTAACTTTGATATAAATACTTACTGAATAACGTTATCCTATAGCCGTACTACTAACAATTCCACCCTTCTAACGACTCTTATTAAACGGTCGTAGACTTCTCTGCATTCCTCATAAGTATGTGTCCAACTAACAAATCCCTCCTATCCCCACCAGTTGGAAGGACGTGGATAGGTCAGCTCTCGATCGAAGGAGGTTGTGCCATTTGCATCTAAGAGGCAGTGATTAATCCCAATGTTCTTACCCAAGTAACATTGCAGGTTTTATCGAGGTTTTATAGCATTCTACAAGACAAAATCATGGTCTACAGAACCCTCATAAAACCAAAATTGTTACTTGGGTATCTTAGAATAAGTATCTTAGAATAAATTTGATATTTGCATCGGCCTTATGAGCATTTTTCAATTACTGAAAGTCACAATACACATTTTTTCAACATAGCTTTTCACAATGGTTTTGTAATTTTTGTCTTTGCTATTTAAATTTTGCGCAGACGGGCTTGGGCAGTAGATGGTTGGAGAAGAAAATTTCTCAAATCCATGTACACGGATAGAAATCTCCTTATACCTTTTGGCAAATTTCTATAGCTGATTATTAATAAAATGTACAAGCCAACCCTAATAAAAATAACCATAAAAGACAGCTTAACGACGTGTTCGGAGTATCCTCCAAACCATTTGTGGGATAGTTTACCTATCCGTGATACAGTTCGTTTATGGTATTTGTTTATTAGGGAACTAATAAGCAGACGCCTTGCTAAAATTTAATGAAGATCATGTGTCAAATGAAATGTATAGGCGGTCACACATACCTTTTATGCATTCTTATAGGACCTATGTGGTTTGTCTTATGGAATGTATAAGGCTGATGTTTTGGCAAAAATGTGTAAGTGAAACACATGAATAAAATAATTGATTTTCGTTTCGTGTATGAATGTCTGTGTCCTGAAAACCATACTAACTTATTGTTTAGTATATTGGCTATGGAGATTAGTGACGTTTAACGCACGCACGTTGTTTATTATTTTCCTCTGGCTAACCTAAAAAATGTATGAAATTAGATCTTTCAAAGCTTGACAGCGATTTGTCATGTATTTTCCTCGGATTTTCACTAACACGCTCTCACATATCGCACCAAGACAACCGGACGTGGAAATCTCTATGCAACTGACAATACACTCAAAAAATTTGTCACATAAATTTTACTGGAAAAAACACGTAACCTTCAGATATTATAAATTATCTGAAAAGTACATGAAGTTAATAAAATTCATTACAAATGATATTAAAAGCAATGTGATAAGCTTTGAAACTTAGATGAAATTTATATAAATTTCAAGTGAATTTCATGTGAGATTATTTCACTTAGATTCTACATGAATTTATAGTGTGAAAATTTCTAAGTGGCGATGGCATAAACAAAACCTAATATAGCGTACAAGCGGTGCATTGCTGACGACCAGTGGATAAATTTGCAAATTCCATTGGATTTGTTGAATTTTCTGAAAAGTAAGTTGTTTTATTTTCGTCATAATACACCATTTACAAATCATATATTTTTTGTAGAGCGAGGAATCGACGAGTTTGATTTCCTTACCATTTCACCCGAAAGATTGGCAGAGGAAGTGCAGCTGGCCGGGGGCGGCTAGCAGTTGCATTGCATTGGATTAACAATTAGTTTTTGTGTAAAAAAAAATAGCTTAAACGTGTAAGTAGATATAAGAAACCATCGCTGCATTAAGCTGAGCAATAAAATAAATAAACAAATATCTTGCCAGTTATTTTTATTATCTCGAAGAAATTTACTAAAATTTAAGTGAAAGTGTAATAAAATTCACATAGAAAGTACTATAAAATGTATGTTGCTTTCTAGTGGATTGGGGAAAGATCTTTTCACTTTGAGTAATTTTCACTTAGATGTTACATGAAAATATAGTGAAATTTATTTCAAAAGCCTATACTACCTATTGCAGTTTTATGTGGATTGTAGTTAAAACTTTAGAACCGATGTACATATGAAAAACGTAAAATTTACGTGAAAAACTAGATGGAAAATATCTATATAAGTTTTCATGTAACATCTAAGTGAAAAATTTTCTGAGTGTACACATATGAGGGAGAGATAAGCAGAAGGAATGTTTTGAGCCAAATGAACTGTCAAAATCTGTCGAACATTCCTATTAGAAACGAGGATTTCTTATTCTTACTAGATTAAATTTGAGAGTATTGCAATCGAACAGAAATTCAATCACCTTTATGTTTCGTGTGCTTCTCAAATTCAACTAGTTTTTGAATAAAAAACAATATGCTAACTCTATTGATTAATTGATCTTACTTTGTTAATAAATGTCACAAAGAAAAATGCAAAATATTGCGATGTAATCAATTCTAGATAGAGCTGGAATTAGGGCCTAACAGCTTTTGTAAACAATGACTTCTCATGATGATTTCTAGCAATTCAAGGCTCACTAAGGCAAACAAACATCCTCATCGGGTATGGAAAGACTTCCCCTACCCGATGAGGATGTTGGTTTGCGTGGGTGAGCCTTGAATTTCTAGAAATCATCCAGAGAAGTCATTGTTTACAAAAGCTGTTAGGCCCTAATTCCAGCTCTATCTAGAATTATTATTTTGCACGTAAATCGAATCAAAAGTAACAGTCATGTGAAATGCTAGCTTCTAGCAAGGGTTGCAAGATTATTTAGGTACAAATCCCTGCTGCCGAACTGTATTTTGTTTTCTCCGCCCATCTCTCCCTCTGAGTATTTCTACTAATCACATTCTACATCCACAATCTTCTCTCATCTTTCCAACAGGATCTGCTAGTAACCCTATCAACGCTCCTGCGGGGCTCCGTATACGAACGGTTACGATGGACGTTCCGTCTGTACGACATCAACAACGATGGCTGCATCAGCCGGGGCGAGCTGGGTGAAATAATCTTGTCAGTGCACGAACTAATGGGCCGGAGGCCCAACCATCCGGACGACGAAGTGAAGGCCCAGGAACAGGTGAGAACGCCTCGAGTTCCATTCTTGAAACATTACTTATATGTTTGATTGACACACGTAGGTGGATCGAGTCTTCCGAAAGCTGGACCTCAACCAGGACGGTGTCATCACGATCGAAGAGTTCCTGGAGGCCTGCCTGAAGGATGACGTCGTTACTAAATCGCTACAAATGTTCGACACCTGCCTTTGATGACCGTCTACCGACAGCGTGTTTGCTGCCTCGAAGAAGGCCGCCGACCTGGACCGTTTCGCTCTGATACATCTGTAAGCGGAAAGGGACAGCAAGTTGGCAGTTGGATGGAAGGATGGAAGGGATGGAATGGAACGGACGGTGCACCCCGACTCAGCATAACACAAGCTGACGGAAGTGCTCTCAACGGAAGGTACTCGCTCAAATGTGGTTCAACGGTTCTCGTTAAGTTTTAAGATGGTGATAAGGTTTAAATTCATAGTGATGCTTCTTTAAGTTAACTTTTTTTTTTCTCCACACGGCATTTGCATATTTATCAAAAATGGATGCAGTTTAATCATTTTCGAAGAAAATACTGCATTGATATATGTGTAAAATGAGTTAAATGTTTCCCAAAAATGAAAAAAAAAATAAAACTGTGTAAGTCAAGTATTTTTTTCGAAAATGGTTAAACTTCAAAACATTGAATTGCATTGGATTATTTAAAAAAAAAAGATACCGACCGTTTCTAGGCACAACGTGAAATAGTTTAAATATGATATGGATTATTGAAAAAAAAAATAATTAAGTTCGAAACAATTTACTGTTTGTAAAAGGAAGCATTCTTTTTGACTGTGTGCAATATATTTTCCCTGAAAACGAGAAAAAATGAAAACTACAAGAAAAACAATATGTGAATCATGCAAGGAATATAAGTTTTAGAATTTCATATCATGTTCCATACCAATCAAAGCAATATTATGTTATAAACAAATAATGTAATATTGTAGACAAAATATTCATACATAATTTGGTAGGTTGTTTTTGTGATATAACATATTTTGATTTAATTTTTTTATAAGACAAGTAAATAGTAACTAAAGTATTAAAATTGCCATGTAATAGTCATTGGGAGAAGACAGAAGAAAACAGATATTGAATTAGTATTAGGAGCAGTTAAAAGTCTAGATACTAAGGGGGAAAAAACGTACGAGCTAAGCTTATAGAAGTGGTTAATCGAATTGGAGACCAGAGAAGAAAGTTTGTCTTTGACTGGAGGATATTTTAAATAGAATATAAAGCAAACTGCAAAAAGTAAACTTTAACAGAACAACGGAATTTTACTACTTTATTTTCGAAACTAGAAAATATATTCGTAGCGACACAGGCGTTAGTTGACAATAGACAATCGTTTTGACAAAAAAAAACTAGCTTCGAACCGTTAGGCAGACGGTTAGTAAATGCAATCTAGGTGAGAGAAGTAGAATTAAATGATCGGCAGTTTAGAAATTCGCTTCCACTATGAACGAACAACAAACATGACAACATCGCCAACAACTGGTTAGTGGTATTATTTTTAAGACTATAGTTCAAAATGCAATCCAACATGATTTGCAAATATCAATCTTATTCTTCTTTATATTCTTCAATGTCATTTTAGCACCAACCGAAGTTTGAAAACCGATTTCTAGCAATCAGTTTATGTTAATTTCACCACCATTCAAGGTTTAAGGAAAGCAAAACAAACACCAATTACATAAGTTTACTAGCAAAACGAAGAAAACCCATTTGTGAGCTCTACTGGTAGTAACATAGTATGAGTGCTCAAATTTGTTACCCAAACCTATATCGTAAATCGCAAACGTTAAACAAGTGGACTTCAAAGAATGTGTGTTAAACAAAGTTCTATCTGTGCATTTAATAACCTATGGTAAGTGGATCCCGGCAAGTGGATTCCAAATATGCGCGGATGTTTTATCGGTGTGTGTGTTTTTCAGCAAAGTATCATTATTATTATTATTATCTACACAAACTAGCACGATGAAACGAATCAATGCAAAGCATCATCTTCTGATCTGTATGTTAAAAGTTGGAGGCAAGCGCTACTAGCAGGCAAATTAATCTTTTCATTAGTCCATAAACCACCGCTTGTAGGCGAAAGTATTTCTTACCAAATAGCAGTGGCTTCTCGAATGGAAAAAAAATAAATAAATTAAAAACAAAAACCAGCAAATCAAACGTAAAAATTAAGTGTTACACCAGAAAGTTAAACAAAATACTACTACCACATTGATGTAGGAATAGTAGCGCGCCCAGCAACAAAGCCATAATATTCGTGAATGAAAACAACCACAACAACAACACAATCCATACACATTCCAATTGTCAATGTCATTCGCTTTACACGAGAAGAAAAAAAAAATTTATGTAAGTAATTTGAAGTTGGGAATGTCCTTCTTGGAGAGTCTTCACTCTAAAGAGCCACGCACAATGGATCCGTTTGCGTTGCGCTGACGTAAATTTGACAGTTAACCCATGGATTAACTGTCAAATAATTGCTGCTTGCTATTCTATTCATTCCAATTGGCAGAATGATTCGAAACGGGTTGAACACATTTTTACAACGCTCCAAACTTCTCAGTTGCGTTTGACTATTGTCGGCAACCTTCTTTTCTTCGGCAACCTTTCCATTTGAACTGCGTGTTGACCAGCTGTTCTATTATCGGCAACTCGTGTTTTAATGAGAAAATACAGCGAATTAACGTTCAAATGTTTGTTGCCAAAAACAGTCAATGGGTGCCGAAGCCATCATTTACCCTATTTGGGATATTTTCGAAATAATCATGAATTAATTTTCAATCCCTTATGATGAATCTCTAAGGCAGCCTTATCTGGAAACTTCAAAAGCACATAAATCCGCTCCTACCAAACATACAATAATGAAAGTGGAACTCAACGTTTGCAGTAGAACAGTTACAATTACAGTTGCAATGCAGAGAGTTACAATTTTACCATTGTACGTTTTGTGGAAGCTGGCAGTTGTGCTTTTGAAGTTTCAAGATAAAGGCTTCCTCATAAAGTCACCTAGTAAGAAAGTTTTACTGCACACACAACACGGTTCATGGCTGCTAGTCTCCAATTTCTCGAATGTACTACGTTTCTGGATCTTAATCCACTTAAATTGCGTGTGTGCGTTATCGCACTTGTTTGAGACCCGCTAAGGACTTCTACAAGGCGATGGATCTTCCTGCCTCCGGTTCAACATTGCGCTACAAGGTGTTATGAGATTTGCGGGCTTCAACATGCGCGGCACGATCTTCAATAAATCCAGGCAGTTCATCTGCTTCACTGATGACGGGAACATTGTCGAAAGAACATTCCAGCCAGTGGCGGACACATAAACCAGACTGAAGCGTGAAGCAGATAAGGTTTGATTAAAGGTGAATACGTCGAAGACTAAGTATTGTGCATTTAGATAAAAATTATCTGCATGTCGCTGATGTATTGAGTTCCAACGCGACTAGCAGCAATGCAAAAGAATTGTCATTAGTGTCAACAATATTAGCAACAAACATATGAAAACCATGATTAAGGTTGGCATCAGGTTCGGAAGTTGGAAGTTAGATTTCCAAACTTTAGTTTGGTTCTGGTGCCACAATATTTGTTGGCTAGAGGAGCCGAACGCGATAGAACTCACATAGACCGAAATGTTATAATCGACGGATGAGTTCGAGGTAGTGGATGAATTTATGTACCTCGGATCATTGGTGACGTCGCAACTGCAGCACTGAGAATTTTACAATTGGGTTCTTTAATTTTGAAAAATATATCGGTTTTTATATATCTAGATAGAGCTGGAATTAGGGCGAAACAGCTTTTGTAAACATTGACTTCTCTCGATGATTTCTCGAAAGTCATCTCGCCCTGGCAAATCGACATCCCCAGCGATTAGGGGAAGACTTCCCCTACTCGATGGATATGTTGCTTTATGTAGGCGTGCCTTGAATTCGTAGAAATCATCGAGAGAAGTCATTGTTTACAAAGGCTGTTACGCCCTAATTCCAGCTCTATCTAGATATCATCTAAAAAAGCTCCGTTTTCTGAGCACAGCGATATTTTTTTCGAACACACACACACACAAGCAAAATAATAACTTCACTGTTTGACACTAAACTGACAAACTGGGGGCTGTTCATTAACTACGTAGACAGTTTTTTTGGGATTCTTGACCCCCTCCCCCTGCGTAGACAATTGTCCATACATTTTTTTTTAATTTGTATGGGCTGTGGATAATTGTCAACCCCCCCCCCTAAACTGTCTACGTAGTTTATGAACAGCCCCCTGACAGCACGCTCCCATACAAAATGACACCGAGGGGCGCTAATAAGGTGATTTTTGCAAATGTAATCGTTCTTATTTAAAATAGTTCCAGTGTACCAAAATTGATGAAATTTTGGGTTTGGATTCCATTTTTAATGCAGATTACGGATATGCATTTACCTCAATACCCTTAAAAAAACCCAATTATAGTCACTATATTTATAGTCTGGTGGATACAAAATCCTGCCAACTGGCAACTTTGATTTCTTCAATAATATAGGGTGTCCCACATCAAATTGCATCACAGAAAAAACGCTGTAGAAAACTGCCCATTGGGTATTTTCTGTTGACAATTTGGGTAGAAGTAGTTTAGAGTATATTGTTTACCCTGTATTTTTATCGCTGTCAGATTTTCGAAAGTTCGAACAGAATGGCGTCCTCAACTCTCTCATCGGGACATCGGAAAACAACTCGGAATCGTGCAGACAACGGTGAGTCAGAATGGATGTTCTATTAAGACCCACGCACATTAGATCCGGATCGGACGCGTTGCGGCAAAGTGACAGCTAAATCTATTGTCTAACTGTCAAATTTATGTCAACGCAACGCAAACGGATCTAATGTGGGTGGCCCTTTAGCGATCACAAGCGTGTCGTTAAAGCGTTCAAGCGGAATCCCAATGCTTCGATCAGGGATATGGCCAAAAGGTTGAATCTGTCCAAGCCTTTCGTTCAGAGAGCCAAGGACCGGGAGGAACTACATACGTACAAAGTGCAGAAGGCTCCACATCGTGACGAACGGCAAAATACGGTGGTAAAGTCATGGATGATGAGACTTACGTCAAGCCAAACTCCCGGCAGCTTCCGGGACTACTGTTCTTCACCACCCAGCACAAGTTTGATGTTCCGGAGGAAGTAAGGAAGCAGAAAATTTCAAAGTTTGCAAGAAATATATGACTTGGCAGCGATCTGCTCATGTGGCAAACAGAGTGCGCCATTCGTGACTACCGGGACTTTAAACGGGGAGATCTACTCATGGAGTGTCTACAGAAGCGTCTGCTTCCTCTGTTGAAGCAACACGAGGGCCATACGATCTTCTGACCGGATCTAGCTTCGTGTCACTATTTAAATGTTGTCCTGGAGTGGTACGAAGCTAGCGGGGTCACTTTCGTACTCAAGGACATGAACCTCCCCAACGTACCGGAACTAAGGCCCATCGAAAAATACTGGGCTATTATGAAGCAGACACTATGGAAGCATTCCAAGGAGGTCAAATCTGAGGAAGACATGAAGAAAAAGTGGGATTCCGTACAGAAGAAGCTGCAACCAGATGTTGTACAGAACGTTAGGCGTAAGGTGTGAACCAAAAGCTTACTAATGGTTTATATTTTATTGTCTGAAAGTTTGAAAAGGATCGGTCGAATAGTTAATTTTCTACATCGTTTTTTCCATGATGCAATTTGATGTGGGACCAAGGGTAAGTCACTCAGCACGTTGTGCCGAAATTAGATTCGACACAGCTTGGGTACATCCATCGGCACACCTTCCGCATACCTTGAGCACACCTTCGGCACAATCTCGTAGGCATTGGATTGTTGTAAATAAAATGGGAGTACTACCAACAATCAATATGAAACTATCGATTTGAAATTGGCTTACTACTTGACTAGCCTATTGGTCCCAAGCAAATCGATTAACGTACCCCATTCTAGTCAAAATTCTAGTACTACACAATGTTTGTTTTGATTCGCTATGAAAGTTTGACAGATAAAATGAGGGGTTAGTGAAATTTCCTATGTTTCGGGGGGTGAATCGATTAGCTTGGGACCGAAGATAGTACCAGAGGTGAGCCAAAAAGTAGAGCTCATTTCTTCGGGACCTACTACACTAAGAGTTATCTCTATGGTACTACTGGACAACTGTCATTGAAGTTGTTCAGATCATTACGAGCTGTTTGACTGTATATTCAGGAATATCCTCTAATTTAATATACCAGAGGAACTCAGACCAGCAGTTCACTTATAAAAATTATCTAAACACGAAATATATTTAGAGTGGGTTCCAGAGAAAGAGGCAGTTAATTAGACCCCCAAACTAAAGAAGTCTATTCATCCTCTATACTCAGTTTCCAACAATGCTCCCCACCGGTTCCAACTCTTTCCGGCCGCTGATAGACCGATGCTTTTCACATCACGAAAGGCTAGGTTTCTGGTCTGCCTTTGAGGGCATTATAGAAGACTAAAACACAGGAATTTTATCATCCTATGAACATAAAACACCAACACCAGCCACTTCCCGCGTCATCCTCAATCCGATTTATCCTTGTGATTTCAAATCAAATCATTCAAGGTGTCAGAAATACCGGGTTGCCGGGATGGGTATTTTACAAACAATCGCAGCTTGTTCTGTGACCGGCACAATCGGCACACCTGCGGCACACTGACAAAAAAGATGACCCAAGATTGGTGAGCGGAGTGACCTACCCCTTGTGTGGGACACCCTTTAATCTGGCACCCCGTGAAAATGTTCAAGCTTTTGCAGAACGTTTTCGTTGTACGCAACATAATTTTTTTTTGTCTTTACAGTATCAATATCAATGTTACCAATTTTAGACGAAATTGGAGGAAATGTGTTAAAAGAATATCGATTAACTTACACTTTTCAACGCATACCCAGGCATGGAAAATCATTTACAATCATTTCATGCATTCATTTGCCTCTAACTTTTTTCATCAACAGCATTCCACAAAATCATGTATAGAGCTTTAGTAGGTTTTGTTATTAACTACAACTTTTGCCCAAAACTCAAATATGTATCTCTTATGCATCACGAATTAGAGCGGGCAGAACTCGTAACTGTTTTTCAGTGAATGTAAAATACATTCACTGAAAACAGTAGTGGATTCTGTTTGCTCTGATTCGTCATGCATAAGAGATACGGATTATAGTTCTTCACAAAAGTTGTAGCTAATCACAAAACTTACAAAAGCTTAATACATCATTTTGCGGAATTCTGTTGATGAAATAAGTTAGAGGCAAATGAATGTAACTGAATGCACGAAATAAATGTAAATGATTTTCCATGCCTGCGCATACCTGCAAAATTACCGTTCCATCCGTAAAAAAAAAATACATCAAAAAGTATATTAATTGTCGTCTCCGCATTAGCGGCGATTATGAGATTGTGAAAAACATAAAAACAGCATTCAGAAATGCATTGATATCAACTGCATT